ACAAATATTATAATACATTTTTTAATATTTGAATATTTTGACTATAATTATATTAAATACAATTTAAGCGATCATTATTAAAGAATGGATTTAGATGTACAAAAAATCATTAAAATATGCTTCAAAATAAATACTGTAACATTCTACAAAATATAAACTTAACATTTAATTGAAAAGATTTTACTTAAAATTATGTAAAAAGTATTAACAAGGGTATTTCGTAGTTTTCACTTCGTTCTTCACTAATAACATTCTTAATCCGTGTTAATAAAAACTGAATAAAACAATGTAATTCATATTTTACGTTATTGCGCTGGATAATCAAAAGTTGTCTTATCTTAAAATATTATAGTCAATCATTGACGACCGGTGGTAATTTTATCGTTACACATTTTGTGGACCGGATAGTCTATATTATAATTTAATTTAATCTGATAAGAAGTAAATTGTTACCCTTTTTCATGAGGTCATTAGATTAATGATAAATTTATGCGGCTGTGAAAGTGAAAAAATTAGATAAAACAAAAATATGCACTATAAAATAGATGTCATATTATAATAGTATGCTTTCTACCCTAAAAATCGTTCTACCCGCCGTTGTCATCTGCTAAAGGATGTGGTCTACCTTCATCCATCCCCTCTGTACACGGGCTTATGATCTTTGATGGATACTGACTTATCTTTTTCCGTTGGTTAACACTTTATCTTTATGACCTTAAACCTTATAACTTTCGATAACAATGCTTCGACATTTAGTAAGAGTATGTCACTTATTGCGCGACATTACAATGTATTTATTCTGGCGCTCACGAAGTCACCCACTTAACATGTTGGTAAAACATGTTTATTTAATCAACCATCAGTTTTTAATTAACAAAACGTTTTTTCAAACAATGGAAATTCCCATTTTAATAAGTGTGGAAATGAGATGAATTTGTACATAAGTTAGGTAAGGGGCAAAGAAAGGAGTGTTTTACGTCGCAAACGAAATGGATGTCAAACAACTCAAACAATTTATTTTTTATGCAATGATGCTATATTTGTTAATAAAGAGTTTCTTATTTCTATTTAAATTATTATTTTTTCCCCTGGTACACTTCTTGCTATACTTTCAAATCACCGGTAAACGGCATACTTTATTCGTAAATTCGCTGGTAGACCGAATAATATTTTATGACAGCCTATACAATTTTAAATATGTAATAAATATGCAAAATCAGAAAAAAAAACGTTGAAATATAGAAAATACAATAATATTTGCGTTGTTTTAATAAGAATGATCGGGGACAATTCTCATCGAATTTTAAATTGTTTATACCAATATATGCATCATACATACATTTGCATATAAAATTGTGCCCAGTCATTATACTTATTAGGACTGAACGATAAATGATATAACTCATAAGGTGAATAAATATTTTACCTGATAAATGTGCATCAGTGTTATCGGTCATTACTGTATGTGTTTAATGGGTGTACAAAATATATGCAAACAGTAATTAAAACTTTTCCAATTTTTTTTTTTTAAGCTTTTATGGGTTTATATTATAAATGTCTTTAAGCGTTACTTGTCACAAGACATTTGAAAAATGTCAGTTTCAGTTACCTATCAATAACAATATTATACGATAACATTTTAATATCGCCTATAAAAACAAATCGTACTCTCGAAACTACAAGATAGTGCAAATCTGAATATAAAAAAATAACTTGTCAGAATACTTCTTACATTAATTTATTATATGTATAATATCTATTTCCTCTTTTGCTGCAAAAATATTACCGAAATCCGTTAAAATAAAATATAATTTTAATTATTTTTTCTCTCTTATTTATTGGGTGTTAGTGGATCAGGCGGGTCTGTTATGAGGTTCACTAGTTTTCAGACGCCACCCAAAATAATACCTTTTTTTTTAAAGAAAAAAAACATTCGCACGTTGCAATAACGTCGTTGTACACCGAACGTGCAGACATTTCGGCAATGTATATTATCTACATCTATATATATAGGTGTTTCTCCCACACGTACAAATATATAAAACCATTCGATTGAGTGTACTTAAGTTGAAACTGAAATTATTTCCGATCGTATGAATATTATATATTTTACGATAAACCGTTTGTACTGTCCGTTTGTCGACGGTAAGCTGCTTTCGTCCTCAAAAAGTGTGCGTAAAAAATTGATCGTCGACCGTTCCCAATGATATTATTATCTCAACTTCATATATTATTCATATATTATGTAACGTACTGATAACTTCACTGGTGTAAGACAAAGTATTGTACTAAATGTTATTTTAACACAAGTAATTTGAGTTAGTAATAATATAATAATAAACAATATTCTATAGGATGACATTTGAAATAAGTTAACACTTAATAGTATTGTAAGTTATCATGCAGGTAACTACTATTCAACGTGGGGTTATGCATCCACGTTTTAATAACATAATGTAATACTTACCTACATGGCTACATTAGATAAATTTGTAATATAAGATTACTGATTAGTTAATACACGGTAACACCAATAGCTTACCGCAATCAGGATTCATTGATGATAAACCGACATGGTCTGATATTATAGACTCGCTGATAAGTTAAGTATAACCTTTATGAAGAATGAAAAAATACCAATATAGATTTAGAAAATCAGGTTAAATCAATATTTTGTTAAGTTAGATTAGATAGGGTAGGGGTGCTACATCATAGATTATAAAATATTGTATTTAATGTAAGCCAGAAATCTATCTCAAAGTTGAAGATTGAAACATATTAATTACTGTTCTAAAAGGAGATTGCAAATACAAAATGTACACACATCAAAATTAATATTGTAAGACCAATCTAATCTCAGAGTCTTAAAGCGGACAAATATTTTGATTACAATGTATGTTCTTCAAAACATACATTTTCTTACCAACTCCTTCTACTTAAATAGTTCTTTTTAATTTAATTTTCTCTCCTGTCGGACGTTTATATTCTATATGAGAACCAATGCTTGACGTTATTGTAACAATAATTTTACTTCTCAAAAGTGAATATGCATAATACACAGTGTATATAGCTACAGTTGTTGATGGTTCGTTCAGATTATTTTATGTTCTGCGTTCGATAAACTCTATAGCGAATTTTACATCTCTCTCTGCAAGGATTTTCATGTTGATAACGTCGTGATGAATTCAAAAATTATACATAATTAGTTCGTTTAGAATATTTGAATTTTCCATTCATCTTGCATTCAGAATTAACCCTTTTCCACATATTTAATAAAGTTGGACTCGTTCTTACTTTAGAGTGGAAATTATGCATTCAGTCATTATATTATATAGCAACAGGATGCCTTTATTTTAAGTTAACATTGATGGCTACCAACCCTTTCCCTATCTCAGAGTCATAATATTTTTGATCCTGTATAGTCTATACCATGAAAAATAAAAAAAAAATATGTATATTTAATATTCATATAGAGTATTTTACCAAGCATGCTTCACACTTATTATAAATTATACGATTTCTGTTTTAAAGTACACAAGTCCAATGGGGATTTATATCAAAAATTTCATCGGTTAACACCATTAAAAACCAAAAACAAAATTGAACAAAATCAATACCGTTAATCAAACTAAATACGAAATCAGAAAAAATAAATACCGATATCTGAAACTGAAATCAAAATTGGGAAAAATAAACACCGATAACCAAAACCAAAATCGAAATAGGAAAAAATATTTTCGGTTTCAAGCCTTGGCCATTATAATAATATAATAAAGGTCCCTACACACTTCAGAGGTTGCGGTTCCTGTGAATTGCCGCAGGACACATTTCCCCACTTACCGCTGCGGTAAAGCCAAGAAAATAGAATTTAACTACACCGCCACCGCCACCATTTCAGTGTGTGGCGAACTTAATAATGCAGGACTTGAAACCGATATTGGATAAAAATTATAAACCATTGAAACCCGAAATCGATACCGAAACCGAAAACCAAATCGAAAAGAATCAATACCGATAATTAAAACCGAAATAGGAAAACACTTTTTCGGTTTCAAGCTCTGATAAAACTACTATATTAAGTATGCAGTTTTTCATATTTATAATATAAGTACCTATAGTCTTAGTGTAATGAGTATGAGACTCATATTACATGATTGGTGTATCTGTATTTGATGTCGAACCATTATTAACAATTTTACTATACTTGATACTATGTACAGTTTAATATCATAGAAACAAATCGATTGTATTTATATTTAGATGTATAAATATTTTAAAAAATTTGACCATTAGATAATTTATCGAATATAGGGTAGTTTTCATTTGAAAAAAAAATATTTGAACACAGAACACTTTTTAAATGAAATAAAAATCTAAGTAGCTTATAATAATAAAGTTTTAAGCATACTAAAATGTTCAAAAACAAGAATCTGAATAAATGAGTGATCTATCACTCTGATAATCACCCAGATAATTTTCTTATTATAGTTATTAGGCATACTATGGCATAACTATGTATATATCTACAGATTGTAAATGTGAAATTATATTTTTAGAAAAAAAAATCAAACATTTTATTGCAAAACTTTAGATTTAGATATTTGATTAATAATTAAATATTTTAATTTATAATTATACAACTTATAATTAGGTAAGCAATTATATAAACAATGTTTATATTAGTTTTTTAAGCGGGCTTTACAAAATTAACCTTATAATAACGGACTTTTTAAATAATTGAGATAAAAAATAATTAGTATTCAAATTGTTGAACTTTTTACAAATTAACATTTATTATTGGATTCAGTACCCTGAAACCGTTTTTTTTCGTACTCTGGTCAAATTAAAACCAACCGACAAATAATTACTATAGCATTGCCATCGTTCTGAACACATCATAAATATTATTATAAGACATAAACCATTTAAAACTGTAGTGTCGATAGTGAACAAGCACAGATCCACACACGTCGTACCACTACAAAATTCTAACGTCTACAATGATTTTTTTTCTGATTTCAGCTCTAGGATATGGTGGCGAAGAGCACGGGCCACGTTTCGTGGTCGAACCACCGGTGTCAGTTTTCTTTTCCAACGCCACTGGGGCCCGAGTGGAATGTGCAGCCGAAGGAACGCCCAGGCCACTGGTCCGCTGGCAGACGGTACTCGATGGTTCAACTGTTAGGGGTGTCAGAGATTTGATGCACGTCGACGACAACGGAACCCTGGTTTTTTCACCGTTTGCCGAACACCAATACTCACCAAACGTGCACTCAGTCGCATACAGGTGTGTGGCCCACAGTCGAGCTGGCACCATCGTTTCCCGGAACGTGCAAGTCAGAGCTGGTAAGTCATTATGATGTATAATACGATCTTGTACTTACGACCTATACGATATGCTTAAGTATGTTTACGGCTTTAATAAGTATCATATGATTTCTTGAGAAACCTATATAGAGATAAAAATAGGTTGAAAGGAAAGGGAGAGAGAGAGAGACACAATTTAAAGTGAAAGAGAGATATCCGTGAGAGCGAGAAAGAGGGAACGAGAGATGCTTCCGCGTTAACATACTCAATCTGACGAAATGAGAAGATACGTTTTGAAAATCTAAATTGACACCTCCATTATAATAGATAAAATATAATATTAGAACATACCGAATATAAATGAGTAAATATCAATAGTTAAAATATTTAATAGAAATAATATTAAATAGTATTAAATTCAACACTACCTGAAGACCTATTCATAATTTATCATTACAAATGTATTTAAATTGTAGTTATATTGCAATTTTCGACCACACGTTTACTATAGCTATCATTACCAGCTCTACTACCCAAAATGTTGATATTTTCATGGTCTCCTTCGCATTTACATAATCACACTGGCATATTGCTGTAATATAATAATTTGTAACTATGCAAGAAGGTAGCTTTTTTTCCAAGACACATTTACATTTAAACGATTTAAGTATCTGAACTGTTGCAAAAAAGTCCAGATTGATGCACACCTGGCATGTTTCATCTGATAAATCGCACAGAGGCACTTCTATACATCGTAGACATTATGCATTTTTCACGCTTTTGATTTTCTTAGGAATAGTTACCACAAAATTGTTTTCCATATAAATAAGTATACAGTTTCTAATGCGTACCGACATACCATGCACAATACGTTTTATCCTCAATAGTAAAAATACAAAAATTACAAGGATTATAACCATTAACTTTCAAATCAAAATGAACATCCCGTCAGGCTGTATCCACTACTACAACTGCGTACCGCGTACGGTATAAGTTTGTACAGAAAGATTATTACTTACGCCGGTTCAGATAAAACAACGAAAACGTTTCCTTTTAGAGTGGTAATCTACTACTACCGCAAACCCATCCCTACTACTTTATTATAGCTACTAACGATACGCCATGGCTAAAATATACGAAGGAGTCAAATCGCTACAAAACTATAATAATATGCACGTCGTTACAGTAATAATAATATATAGGTATATATTATAGGCGCCGCGATAATTATTCTTGAAATTAAATTAAACGGTTTCCCTTTTGTAATTCAAAAACGGCTTTGTATTTTATGAAAACGAAATTATATTATTATATATACGTATGGTTGAAAAATATACATCTTATACAGCGGGTCCACAGCCACCACTATAACAATAACGGGTAATTAAGAACAAAATAACAAATTATTTATGCATTTCTGTTATTTTGTTTACTATTGTGTTATTTTCTCAACGGCAAGGTATTATTATCTCGAGGGGTCTAAACAAAAAGACATAAAATGTAAACATTTTTACAACCATTGTGTTCTTATGCGTTCGAAATAGGTGAATGGAAAAAACGAGATAAATGTGTACACTTTTTATTAAAAAAAAAATCCTGGTTTTAATGAAAACTACTTCGTATAGTGTATACATACGTCTTGATAAAAACAATAATATAAACAAATACTTAAAAAAAAAATAAATGAACGGCAAACCTCGTGACAATTTTAGAGTATATATATAGTTACATTCCGTATAGAAACAATTAACTTAGAGTAAAAGTATGTCCTTGTGTGGGGCGTGATGAAGCAGTCTCCCCACAATGGCATTAACATATTTAATTTTTTTTTATGTTCGATGTTGTAAAAATAAGTATAAATTAATTTCAAAAAATAAATTAGTTGAATATTATTTACATTTATGATTTCACCCTCTTTCCCAATACAGTATAATGGAGCTCCTGACATTTATAAAGACGCATGATATACAAAACAGATTATCAGGATTGTCAAAACTCGGTTTTCCATCGTACATTGATCATCCGGATGTAATATCCACGACACGTTTCTTAAAACAAAAGCCGTCGGATCATAACACAACACACACACATACACCTCACACGTATAGGATTATCGCTATTATTAATGTAGCATAAATCCTTAGCCCGGGGGTAATAGCGCTTCAGGTCACGGTTTTCGATTAGACCGTTAGCGTTTCAAAACACCACCAAGATAATCACGTTGGTTTGTTTCGCCGAGTCCAGACAGATACTTAATCATTATTTTTTTCTCTATTTTTTTCTCGTTACGTAAAAAGTCAAAACTCCGAAATAATTAACGAACCTCGATCGTACTCGATAGGCACAACATGTATATAATACATCATATAACTATATAATATAATAAGTCGAGGTCAACTTGACGACATAACACGGGGGTGCGTATTATTAGAAAAGTCAATACGTCGTCGTCGTCGTCGTCGTCGGTGACACACTCGGCATACTATATATATATATAAATGTACACAAACGAGGCCGACAACGGCTGTGGCAGCTATGGTGGAGGTTCGCGGTGGCGGAAGCACTGGCCGCTTTATTCCCTCGCCGCGGGAATGCTGCTACTGCTGCTGCCTCTGCTCTGATACCACCGAGAAATGAGGTGGAAAAAATCATTGGACCACGAGTAACGCCCTGAGTAATTCATGAGCCTCCACCCCTCACCCGACCATCACTTCCACACCCCGTTCGCTAAAACTCGGCGTGTTCACAACCGTCGCCTCCGACCTTTTATTTGTATATTTTTTACTTATATATATGTTTATAATATATATATATCTTCTTGATTTTTTTTTTTTTTTGGTCTCGGCGAAATGTTTTTTTCATTACGCGAGGGGCGGCGGCTCGGGATTTAGACGCGAATATAATATGTATGTATGCACGCGTGTATGGGGTCGGATACCGTATACCGCGTATGATGTATACACGCAGTATTATAATGTAATATATGCACTCTTGGATTTTCGACGACCATCGCACCGAGAGACAAAAATGTTTTTATTTCTTTCTGTAATCTGTATATTATTATACACCACCCGCATCGTGGTGTCTATAATTAAACTATATATAAAAATAAATGGCCTTGACCGTCGAAATTGATTTACCGCAAAAACTGCGAATACGAGCCCGCGGGCGAGATAACGTTAATTCCCGGACCGTATACGCGGTTGTAGGTATATATATAATATATATATACAACACACACACACACATACTCTCAGACCATTGTCGTCTCGGTGATTTGATTTCGTTCCATTATCGTTTTCGCACGCAATTATCGCCGGTGGAAATATCGGCCCGAGTAATCGAAATGTGGCTTAAAAGAGTACATAGATACATTCGTCTCGTTTCCGCGGGCTGTTTCCGCTGCGAAACGATTGAAAGAAGATTTCGGGTGACGTGCCATGGAAACCCCTGACCGCGGTGAACGTGTTAACTCTCCACTGTTCAAAATCATGACCGGAAATCTCGAAAACTATTACGACAGTCCCGAAAATGAGATATAGAATTCCACGTTAAAAGACTGCAGACCGTAAGAAAATATAATGTGGTTATAATGCTGCAACGTCGTCGTATTATGTTATGGTTTAGGTCAGTGGCGCCGAAGTCCATGTTTATGTATGGCAGCTGCCATACATATAAAAATTTGGCTGGGGGGTGGGTCCTCAGATGAAAATTAATAGGAATAGGATCACAAATTATTAAGTAATATTGCCCGTTGGGCATTGAGAATATTTGGTATTAAACATCAATGTTTTCGTTGAACCCATGAAGTTAACACTAAATAGTTCATAATAAATAATAATACAACCAATAGTAAGAGCAGTAACAACTATTAGCGCAGAAATCTGAGTCAGACAGTCAGTAGCTCAGCGCTAGTCAGCAGTCAGTCATTGCTTTATTAAGTATTCAGGTCAGAGACTGAGTGACTTATTTGTTATTTTTGTTGAGTTAATTGTCTTCATAGTGTTCATGTACTATTGTACTATTTCTGTTCATTGAATAGTTTATAGTTAAATACTTAAATGAATTATTATTTAATATACCTGCCTAGTTTATTGTGTATATTTTTAACTATCGCTTTTTCTATTATTTTGACTTTTTGAGCACGTTTATTTTTAATAATTAAAATACTTTATTACCCATATTAATATATTATATGAATTTTAATACTGCCTTATTGACTATTATTTATACATTTAAGAATTGAGATTACTTATTTTATGTACATACGTATATGGTATATCCGATATCGTATACAGAAACATTAGAAACAAATATTTTGGACAGAACAAAAATAATAATAGAAACCATCAACCAATAAAGATATCCGCCGACCGGCGACCATCTACCCCACTACCATAATTAATTATACTACATTATTACCGTCCATCTATTATGAAGATATTGTTATCAACAATGCAACATAGTGTCCATAAATAGCTATTGATTCCTATAGATTATGATACAACACTATCTTTGAAAATCAACTGCGCGTCTGCGCCTTCACTAATATAATTAGCCAGCAGCTATTATACAAATATACTGTGGTCTGTGACATTATATAAAACTGCTTAACTGCGTTTGTTTTATGTTTCAACTTTTAAAAATTATAAAGCTTTAACCAGTAACCACTATTATTTAGAGTTAAACTGTCTAGTTGTGATTTGTGAAGTAAGTTACTTTATAGTTTCTACTAAAAATATTTAAATATGAGTTATGTTAGTAAATGTGATTGCGGTAAATTAAGTTCATCAATGAATGATTTAAATTGGAGTAGACATGTTAACTCATGTAAAGTACGAAAGTTTAAAAGAAACTCACATGACATAAAATCTTTTTTTTCTGGAAGCAATAAAAAAAGCAAATTGATTCACCAAATTACTGATGCAGAAAATAGTAAGTACTTACTTAATTTATTTAATTGTTTTATTTTCTTTTAAAATAAAAATACAGATATCAAATAAATAATTTTATCTTAATAAATAGGTATAGTATAATAGCTATAAATATTCCTATAATTTATTATTATTATATTATACTTATTAAGAATTAATATCTGTATAGTAGATAACGCTGGGCGAACTAGACTGTTCTTGGTTTATAATAAAAAGTTAATATTAAATGTTGGTTAACTCTTAAGTTAGTTCAATTTATAGACAATTTTGAATTAACTTTTAACTATTAACTTGATTTTGAATTTTGAATATAATTTAACTTAACTTAACTGAGTTAAAAAATATTGTTAACTTGCCCAGCCTTGGTATTATTTTAAATAATAAATATAAATCTTAATAATATATTAATATGAATAATTATTAGTTAAGTATACCTATCAGCTATCTCATATTGCTTATTGTACTATAACATACCTATTGTCTTATTAGTTATTACATTAATTTATCCCACAACTGTGAATTTGGAATATAAAATACTTAGTAAAAAAAGAGTAGTAAAAATGAATAAAAAAATCTACCTACTTATAAGCCTATATGATAGGTACACGCAGAGTATGATAAATTTCCTTATTGGATATACAGCTAGGACTATCTTTAATTTAATACTTATTTTTAGCTCTTGTTGATTTAAATAAAGAACCGGTACATAAAGAATCTTTGATTGAATGTGAACTTCGACAAGATACTGAGATAAACACATGTTTGGAAAATAAAGGTATGCACCTATCCATATAACACAAATTTTTTAAATTATTTATATCGTTTTAAATATTTAATTGTTTATACCTAAATTAACTCATCACCTTTTGAAGATAAAAATTCTTATTGGATATACAGCTAGGAGAATCTTTAATTTAATACTTATTTTTAGCTCTTGTTGATTTAAATGAAGAACCTGTACATAAAGAATCTTTGATTGAATGTGAACTTCGACAAGATACTGAGATAAACACATGTTTGGAAAATAAAGGTATGCACCTATCCATATAACACAATTTTTTTAAATTATTTATATCGTTTTAAATATTTAATTGTTTATACCTAAATTAACTCATCACCTTTTGAAGATAAAAATTCTTATTGGATATACAGCTACGACAAACTTTAATTTAATACTTATTTTTAGCTCTTGTTGATTTAAATGAAGAACCAGTACATAAAGAATCTTTGATTGAATGTGAACTTCAACAAGATACTGAGATAAACACATGTTTGGAAAATAAAGGTATGTTCTTATATTATTCGCCCTTTTATAAGTATCTATATATTTATATATTTGGAATTTTCTGCATCTTTGCCTATTGCCCTATTGCCCCTATTATCAGTTTTATAATAGGTTAAAGGTATATATATGTAACCTTTAGATAATCAGATAGTATTAGTAACTCTTTTTATAATATTAATCATCATATGCTTCCTCAATATACTGTATTTTTCTATATAATAGTATTATAAAAATTGCTACTTGTAATTCATTTTATTTGATAGATCATATCATTAGAATAACAAAGTCCTAAATATAATTTTTATAGTACCATAAAATTATTTACTTAGTAGTTAGTACAATTTTTAAGTGTCAACTTATATTGTAGATGATATGGATATGGATATAATGAAAAATGATCCTGCAGTTTTTGCTAATATGTCTTTTTTGACTCCAGAAATTAAAGATTACATCTTCAAATTTGGTCCTTGTCAACCGTTACAAAATGATTTACCTAATAAAATATTTCCATTTGAAATTAACAAAGAAAAAATAAAGAGAAGCTTTAATGATAAACATTATTACAGAATTTTACCTGATAAATCAAAATGCCATCGTGATTGGTTGTCCTATTCATTAAGCAAAAATAAAATTTTTTGTATACATTGTATGCTTTTTGGAACCAATTTGCATAGTAATTTAGAAAAATCTTGGACCAAAGAAGGATTTAATAAATGGAAAAATTGTTCATTTGCTATTCAAAGACATGAGTTAACTCCAGATCATGTAACATCATCTTTAAAATTTAAGTTACGTCAAAAAAATTTACCAATTTTACCTTCAATTGAAAATAATAGAAAAACTCAGATAGCAATGAATAGAAACGTTATATTAGAGCTTATAGACATTGTTATATACATGGGACGTCATAATCTGGCATTTCGCGGGCATTGTGAGGATTGGTCTTCAAATTCCAGAGGTAATTTTAAGGACTTAGTTATACTAATGTCTAAAAATTCAGGACCATTAGCGGAACACATAAACCGTATTCAACAAAATGGAAAACATGAAACATCTTTTGTTTCATGGCAAAGACAAAATCAGCTGATTGAAGCTATTGCCGGAGATATTTCTTTTCAAGTACGGTCATTTATTAAAGCTGTAAAAATGTTTAGCATATCTATTGATACCACATTTGATGAATCTCGTAAGGAACAAATATCATTTATAATACGGTAAATAAATACAACTAATATAACTAATATCAGTTATCAGTTACGTTGTTTATTAGTGTCTTGTTTAATTTATGTTTTCTTAGATATGCTGATGAAGTTACTGGTGACATTCATGAAAGACTATTAGCAGTTAAGGAATCACCAGTTACATCTGGAAAAAATTTATATGATATTTTTGTAAATGTAATGGAAGCTGAAAATTTAAATTGGAAAGAAGAGTTGGTTGGCCAGTCATATGATGGAGCTAGCAATATGCGTGGTAACTATAAAGGCCTCCAAGCACGTATTAAATCAGAAAGCCCCCAAGCATTATTTGTATGGTGTCACTCCCATCGCTTAGCTTTGGTAGTAAAACAAGCAGTATCGTGTAACTCCAACGCTGTTGATTTATTCGGGAATTTAGAAACTCTCTATAATTTTCTTTGGTGTTCAAAAAAAAGAGCAGCAATTTTCAGAGAAATTCAAATTGAATGTGGTAAAATGGAATGTAAAAAAAATCCATTGCATGCAGTTAAGAGAGTAAGCACCACTCGGTGGAGCTCTCATTCAGCAGCATTAAATGTAGTTTTGAAATTCCACAATGCAGTTTTAAAAACATTAAACCAAATTAAAGATTCCGAAGGATCTGCTGATGTAGTAGTTGGTGCAAGTTGTAGTGGCTTGATATCATATCTTACATCCCAACGTTTTCTTCTAACAGCATTATTATTCAAAACTATATTTGATATACTTGAACCTGTCACCCGCCAATTGCAATCACAAGATATGGATATGCTTATGGCCACGAATATTTTAAATAATGTGATTCACCAAATCAAAGAACTTAGAAATGATGATGCGTTTAAAAGATTGCTAAAAATTACTGATGAGTTTGCTGAAAATAGTGTTGTCGACTTTTTACCTCTTATATCCAGTCGTCCGAAACGTGTTCCAAGAAAATCAGGTGTATATTATTTTCAAAATAAATATCAATTATTTTATATTTATTTAGAAACTATGTTTGTTCTAAATTACAAAATTTAATATTAATTTCAGGTGAACTGTCTCGAGATGAAATTATATCCTGTCCCATGAAAAAATTTAAAATTGATACATACAATATCATAATGGATATTCTTTTAGCAGAGTTAAGTGGACGTTTTGAAAGCACCAATATAGGGCCCTTAAAAGACTTATCCCTTCTTTCATCTAGACGTATTCGAGAAGTTCAAAATAATCCACACATTGTACCTTGTGATGCCTTTGACGCTTTGTGTACTATGTACACACAAATTGATAAAAACACATTATTAACAGAATATATTGAATTTTGTAAAAATTTTACTGAAATAGAAAACAGTATTGTACTTCCTAAGTATCTTAACACGAATGTAATAGTTGATTATGAAGATTCGCTAGAGTTAAATGCATATAGTTACGATGGTATGGATAAAGATTCTGTACAAATTGTTAATCATAACATAGCAAGCACGAGGGAATTATTTAAGTTATTTTGTTTGGCTAAATTAGCTAATATTTTTCCAAATTTATATTTGGTTTTAAAATTAGCTGTTACATTACCTGTAACAAGCTGTAGCGTAGAGCGAACGTTTTCTAAATTAAAACTTATAAAAACAAAATTAAGAACAACTATGTCACAAGATCGTCTCGAAAGTTTAATGAAAATATCATGTGAGCAAGATATAATTATTAATAATGAAAATGTAATTTTGTTATTTGCAGCTAAAAGTAGTGTTCTAACTAAATGTTTGATTTATTAATACATGTTTAATACTTTTATTGTTATGAAAGTACATAATTATTATTAATACTGTATATTGTATTTGTATAATATAATATAATATAAAAGATTGAATTTTGTTTATATTTTTGTATTTTGTAGTAAGTACTATCTGAAGTAAGAACTAGTAAGTACTAGTTGAAGGCAATTCAATATAATTTGTATATTATATATTTATGTTAATTATTACATTGGAAAAAGGAGAAAAAGCTTACAAAAAATAAGAGTGTGTAGAAAATTGTTTGTGACAGGTTTCAAATTTTATTAGTGGGTTGTTTTGTAGGTTGTGGGGGGTGGGTGGGTGGGTGGTTGTCGGAGATCCTTGCCATACATTTAATTTTGAACTTCGGCGCCACTGGTTTAGGTATACCTCACAAACGTATCAATAATCCGTTTTATCTAGGGCAATATTATAGCTTGTGCTTGAAAATCGCCGACGGCACGGATAAACGGTGCGATAAACCTTAAGTAAAAAAAAACAGTCATTATTTTTAATAGGTTATCAATATTAAAAAAAAATAGTTGGTTCTAAGCAAATATTGGTTAAAAATGCAGTGGATACTTCAAACTAAGCTTTAAGAAAACATATTGTTATTTGTTTGGACGCGTCGTAGTCGATAGTACTATGTAGTTCGTCTTACGCAATAATAAGAAGATTTTTTAAGGGAAATGAAAATAAACCAACTACGAAAATAATAACAATCTCGAAACTTTTAAAATTAGTTGCAAATATTTTCTGTTTTTTTTTTTTTTTTAAAAGAAATCATCGGTCAAGAAAACAAAAGTGTTAAAGTTTAACGCTATAGTCATATTGAAATCTATTATTTATTATTCGTAAATATATCATAACATAATATTATATACTTAATACATAATTATGTAAATTTATGTTGTTATAATAATATAATAAGTTAAGAACGTTTTTATATCGTTATTTTAATCTAGTATATATGACGTCATATTTCTCTCGAGGGAAGGGAAAAATGAAAGTTTAAAATGATATTATTTCCGCGGTCGGAAATGAACGTCCGTTATAATTCACAGTGTGCTTCGAACGGAAATTATAATAATCCAACGTCGACCGTGATTTAATAAACGGAACGTGGGCGTAAAGGTACGACCACGTTAATTTTTTCGCGGTCGAATGGAGTACTGAGACTGAGTTCGATTCCTGCTAGTACGACAAATAACAATTATTAATATTTAATATAATCTTAACGTTATAGTAATAATGTACTTATATCTGGGTCAGCAGATGAGGACTGTGTTTGTCAACTAGGTAATAAGGCGTTTTAGGTTCTGAAAGGAGAGGGGAAGCTAGTAATTTTATAATGGTGTTAATTTTTTTTTTTTTATATATCCTGTATACAAAAGTTTTACCAGAAGGAGTTCTTTGATTTCAAATTGCCAGCGATGAGCTCGTTTTCCTATTTACCCCCCGTATCTATAACCTAGGATATATTTACCAGGCAAAGTAAAATTTATTGAGGGTAATAGAATCCTATGACACAGGGCCGTATAATACATAATAACATATTATAATTGCAGGTATACCTACATAAATATTCTCTCGTCTCATTTTATAATCCTAATTGAAATTATTATCATTCATATCGACTTTAATTAACTTTTTAAATAGCTGGTAATAATACAAATATTTGAAACTTGAATGATGCTTATAAGTTGCAACTAAAGCGGCCAGCTGAAACAATTTCACTATTATTTAGACAAGAAGACAATTAAAGTTGTAAATAATGAACTTTTCTTTGTTAATTTTGCCTTTAAGTTTTGTCAATAACTAGTTCCAGTGCTATACACCTCATAAGTTCAGAAGATAACATAATATGATTTTATTTTATTATTTATTTAATATTTAAATATTGGCCTATTACATAAATTATATAATAACAACACACGTCAGTAGACAGAAATATGATAGCCATACAATACAAATTAAAAATAAAATAACGAATACTTATAGCTACCTACGCCTAGTTAGTATAAAATTACAATACATTTTAAATGAGTCAAAGCTTAGTGAGATGAAAATAATTGATTTTTAATTTATTTAAGGGTATAATCATTCTATTGCAAAAGGTATTATTGGTTGCATAATTAGTTACTTCATTGTTAAGATAAAACGTATACTATTATATTATAATAAAAATTATTGTAAATACTTCTAACGAGTAGGAGTTTTGAAAGAAAAATGACTCAAGAATTCAGGACTGTCAATATTAGGAACGAAAAGTATGTATAGAAAGTATAAATCTAATTGCAAACAAAATTGTTCCAGTGTAAGTGGAGAGCATAACGAATGTGATTATGGAACCACGCCCAATGGGAGTAAAGAGCATTTAAATGACAGGAATCGTAATTTATCATTAATATCAGTAAAATTTTTAAGAATGAAAACTAAGATGTTGTTTAATTTGTTAACAATATTGGTAATGTGACAGTCAAATTTAAGTTTAAGATCAAAAATAATATCAAGATCCTTAATAGGTCCCCTAGTCCGATATAGTATTTCACCATTTATGGAATTATATTTTGAAATCACTCGAGGTCTAGAAAATATTATTATCTGACATGAATTAATTTTAAGATTGTAATTATTCTTAGAGCAAGCATTAAAAGAGAATAGTTCAACAAAATATAAGTAAAACGTCATCGATATTAAGTCAACGGAACATGCTATCATCAGAAAAAAATAATTTAGTACAATTTTGAAAAGTTACGTCATTATAAGTGATAAGAAATAATATTGGCACTAAATTAGATCCTTCAGGAACTCTTCGAAGTAATACGTATTGGAAAATACTCCATGTAAACTACGATTTTATGATTATCTTTAATAAAAGAAATAACTAGCCAGGATAGAAAATAACCACAAATAAGTTGTTTTAATTTTAAAAATATTTGATTGTTAATTTAATTAAATGTCTCAACTAAATTGGTGTAGGTTTATATACCCATAGTTATATATATATATGTATACCCACTTAAAACAACTTATATATACTATGTATTTGAAAGCCAGTAATTAGAAATAATGGATGCATCAGAGGAAGACTTAGGACGAATATTATGTAATATAAAACTAGTGTTCCAAGAATCCTTGAAAATACTAGGGATGAGTGACAAATTAATCAAGTACAATAAATTCGAGTAAAAACAATTTTAAATTTCTAAAAACTAGGTTTAGCACCTTTTAAGTTGGGACCACGATTGGGAACTTAAGGAGTCAAGTAATTCAAAAATGTAAATTTTATCATAATTAATTGATAACTATTATGACCAAAATAAAATATATTCATTATAAAACTACCCTTCCAACTGATATTCCCATTATAATGTATACATTACATATAAGTTAATTAAAACGACGGGTTAGCCGATGGCTAATCAACGATATCTTTCAGTGGTGCCTTAGCACACCCTTGTACACCCCATCACCACCAACAACACCCCGTAACTCGACCGTTTCGATGGTAATGTATTTTTTATTCATTGGACACATGAAAATAATCTAGTGGGATCGGAATACCCTTAATAACAGACCACCAACCAATTGTGTAAAAAAACGAAGATAGGTACCCCGTGCACGTCCTATATTGATACGATTGTAATAATTTTTAGGTGATATATGTTTTACATTTTGGCTATTGAACTATTTTTTTTTTGCCATCAGTCTTTGATGTGTAACATTATTATCGTGAACGATTAGAAAAAATTATCTTCCCATTCTGAAAAATAGGTATCTACTGTACATACTCCGTCAATTCACTGTCAATCGAATTTTAAAATAAATCGATCTATAATCAGATTGAATGCATTCACTGTACTTACAGTTTTTTATGGTGATAACATTAATATTATAATACATCATCAGGTATCTGTATGATAGTATCATTCTGCTGGATAGCAGCGGTGTGATGAGATGAGATGATATTAACGGTGTTTTCGTTTTAAATACAAATATAACACAATATTAAAAAAACTGCTAAAAAGATAAAACCATTTTAACTTTTTATTCTAAATTTGTATACAAACAATATTCCCGTAAAATATAAAAAAATAATATTATGTGTTCATGAAAATAAATCATTCACATTATTTCCTATGCTTACGTCATCAACAAAACTAAAAATAAACCTAATGTAAATATATACATTTATTATGATAATTTGCAAACAAAAACTGGGATCGAATGGTTATTACTTATTTTGGAATAATATTATTTGTTTTATCCTCCTAATACCTACTTTATAGTATGAATATATTATTATTATTATTATTATTATTATTATTATTATTATTATTATTATTATTATTATCTATTATAACATATTAAAATTTGTAATATCTTATTTCAATACTACATTCCGGTGTTTGTCATCCCGCCTACGGCGGAAAGACTGTGTGGGCGGTGGTGCATCTTTGTCGGCGATGCTGGGTTTTTTGATCCAGCCTGCGTCGGGAAGGGGGGTAGTCGGGTATTGTGTTTTGTCGTGTTGGCAGCACTGGTTAAGCGGTAATTTTTGAACTCGGAAGAGTGTCTAGTCGTAAGTCACGCGATTCAAGTCGATCGTAAGACACAGCCAGCCAGGTAGGCAATCCGACTACGTCGGATCGCAGACCATGCACCGGGCGTGTATGTCCGGTTCTCGTATGTGTGTTGAAATCGGAAATTCAGGTTCTGAGTTTGAGTGTCTAGCTATCAGTCATCTCGGGTGGAAGTCGATTCCCGAGTGTCAGATGAAGTGGGGGTGTAAGTCGCACGTATGCAAGTACCTAGTCAGGTAGGCAATCCGACTACGTCGGATCGCAGACCATGCACCGGGCGTGTATGTCCGGTTCTCGTATGTGTGTTGAAATCGGAAATTCGGGTTCTGAGTTTGAGTGTCTAGCTATCCCCTATCAGTCATCTCGGGTGAAAGTTGATTCCCGAACGGACAATCCACCTACAGCGAAAAGTGC